AGTGGAGGGGTGACGTGTATTTAAATTCCATCTGCGCTCCGCAGAGGATCGCAGCTGCACGCGCGCGGCTGGACCAAAACCTCAGCAAAACAGCGACGGGGCGGGGCGGGGCGCGCACACATCTGCCCGACATAACTCACGACGAAGGCGAGGGTGGGCCACGGAGAAGAAGAGGGCTGCTGTGCTGGACGAAACAGCGCAAAACAGTGCTGCGCTGCTGCCACAGGAAAGAGTCGGTCTGTCTCGCCCTACGCTACACTGTAATTTTCTGAAAATTCAGTAAATGTTTTTTTTTTTTCAGAATTGGCACTCTAAATCTTGTTTTCGGACCATTTCTCAAAACTTTCTTAATTTACTCTTTTTTACTCTGAATCAGGTTTGCAGAGAAATTTGGCGGAATGTTTTAAAGTACATTGTTTCAGACTATACACTGAATCTATAATTCAGAGTTACAAGTTACAGGTATGAATTTTGAGAGGAAAGTCCACCGGACAGGCGGATGGAGCACACCACCAGCCGACGCTGCTCCCAACGCAGGTGGCCGGCATCCGAATAGTTAAGGGGCTTCCTAACCTGAGGGTTGGCAGTTCAATCCCAACCAAGGGCAGTACCGAATGGACAGACATGCCTTCACATGGGCAAAGCCCTCTAACCTGACAACTGTTAAGTCGCTCGCTGTGTGTTCATTCTTAACATTTTCAAAAATATTTTCATAACGGCTGTCTGAATTTTCAGACAAAGTGGTATGGTTAGGCACCTCTGAAATTTCAGACCCGGATGCAGTCTGCATTTTCAGACAACTGGTCTGTAAAAACAAAATTGCAGACTTAAAGTACTGAAAAGTCAGTAAAACTTTCCTTACAGTGAATGTCTCTCTCTCTCTCTCTCTCTCTCTCTCTCTCTCTCTCTCTCTCTCTCTCTCTCTTTCTCTCTCTCTCTCTCTCACACAATGTGTTCATTCTTAACATTTTCAAAAATATTTTCATAACGGCTGTCTGAATTTTCAGACAAAGTGGTATGGTTAGGCACTTCTGAAATTTCAGACCCGGATGCAGTCTGAATTTTCAGACAACTGGTCTGTAAAAACAAAACTTCAGACTTAAAGTACTGAAAAGTCAGTAAAACTTTCCTTACAGTGAATGTCTCTGTCTGTCTGTCTGTCTGTCTGTCTCTCTCTCTCTCTCTCTCTCATTCTCTCTCTCCCTCTCTTCCTCTCTCTCCATCGCCATTTTTGCCTCTCAGTCATTCCACCCTTTACTATGCTGCGACCATTAATTAAAAATCTAGAATATTCAAGAAGTTATTTGTTTCTAAGCCACCTTGATACCCATGTGCGTGCTCTCATAACTCGCGCTGGGGCAAGGCATGATTAAAAAAAACTTTTAATCACGCTGATATGAATGAAATTTCACGCTCTAAATGCACTGTGTCCTGAAGTCCTTTAGGGATAATATGGCGAGGTCAGTTTGACTTATCGAGGCAAAATTTTGACTTTCACTTTGACACTCAAGTTGAAAGGTTAGTAAAAAAATTGCCGATATGATATTCAAAGACTATGGAATCTTTGTACATCTTTTTTTCCGCATTACCTTCACAGGGGGGAGAGAGAGGAGGGGGGGAGAGGGGAGAG